AAGTGTTTTATAAGGTTAACTATCTAGGTGCAATGAAATTCGAATGTTAAGACTCTTTTTTTCCTTTCTTCTTATTGCAGTATATATTGATAGGTGCATTGGGATTGTTGGTCATCACATCAAAAGATTAGTGGACAATGGCTTCCTTCATATCACTGGCACAAATTTAGAGAGAAACTATGTATCTGCCATTTTCAAGAATCTTGACTCATTTTTGGACTAATAGAATCCTCTTTCTAGACATGATCAGACTCCCCTCCCCCCCCCCCCCCCCCCTCCTTTCCTTTTGTGTGTGTGTGATTTCGACGTGGCATGTGATGTGTGGATACCGTACAAGTTGGGGTTTCGAACCCTGCTGCAAGTTTCTGCCCCGAGCAGAGCTTGTTACTTAGGTTGGGAGGAGGGTAGAGGGGACGGACTCATACTCTCCGGAATTTTGAACCTATGCACCAACCGGACAGAAAATTGAAATGAACAAAAAATGAAAATGTAGTTCCTCGTCTGGGATTGTTAAATAATATAGTAGAATTTAAAAAATAAAATGACACACTTCATAACGTCTTTGGTTTTTATTTCAAAAATCATATATATTGCACGTATTATTTGTTGTGACAAAAACTCATTAGAAATATTAACGTATTATTGTTACACCATAGATGGCAAAGTCAAAATGGGATTTGTAAGGGCAACTTTTTGTTTGTATAATTTGGTTAATATATTTTTCAATCATAAACGTAAAAGAGCTACCAAAACTATTATCGACAAAAGATTAAAAGTAAAAATAAATGAACTAACCATCCCATGAAGGTAAAATAAAAAACAAAAAAAAAAGATGGAAAAATATATCGCAAGGGGCTCTAAAGTTTTACCTATTTACATTTTCAATCAGAATAGTTGTTTGCAGAGCAAGTTTGAAAGGGATAGATAGACCTTCATGTGACCAACAAGCCAAAATAACGGAAGCGTGAACCCATGATCTCTCCGTAAAACTAATATTTTATGCATAAATTTTCTAAAATTAGTATAATATTATTTGTTGACTATAAGAAGACTAAATGATACACTTGGTTCGCTTAATTCTTTTTAAATTTTTTTTATTAGTAGTGCACTCATGTTCTAGAAATGCTAGATTTGCCTTTGGTTCGAGTTGTGGAAACAGCGGCTTGCAGAAATGCAGGCTAAGGTTGTGTGTTGCACCATATTCTAGAAATCCTAGATTCATCTCTTGTTTTAGCTGTGGAAACAGAGATCCTTGTGGTCCGGCTCCTACCCTGATTCGCGCATAGTGCACTGGATTGCCTTTTTTGTTCGTAGATCGAGTTTGTTGCTTTTAGTGTGCAACGTTTTTCTTCAAATTTTGAAGTTACGTCTATTTTTGTATAGGTAAGACTGCTATCTTCTTTAATGGATATATCAAATTCAACAAAAAATATATTTTGATTTTTGGCTTGTTGAAGTTTCAAGTAGCTTTAGTAGTTATTTTCTGTTTTCATAGGGTCTAAGAACGGGCCACATTTGGAAATGAGGATCTGTGTTGATTATCGCGCCTTAAATCAAGTGACAATCAAGGACAAATTCCCTGTTTCTGTTATTGACGAACTACTAGACGAGTTGCATGGGGCACAAGTTTTCTCTAAGTTGTATCTACTCCCAACCGATCACCAGACGAGAGTTCATCCTACTGATGCTGACGAAGCAGGTTTTAGGACACGTTATGGACATTATGAGTTCTTGGTGATGTTATGTGACGTTACAAATGCTTCATCTGCCTTTGAGTCTCTTATCAATGAGGTACTCAAAGATCATCTCCGAAAATTCGTTTTGGTTTCTGTGATGAAGTTTTAGTTTATAGTAAGTGTCATGAGGATCATTTAAATCATTTGAAATCTGTCTTTTCACTTGTACGAACTCATAAGTTGTTCGTCAACCCCCCAAAACAGTCTTTTTTCCCTGAGGGCGGCCAATTACCTTGGTCATGTTGTATCAAAAATGGTGTTACAGTGGATCCGGAAAAAATTAAAGCTATCGCGAATTGGCCAAAACCAACAGCTCCTAAAGCTTTGAGGGAGTTTGTGGTTATTACAGGAAATTCATTCAACATTATGAAAAGATATCTGATTCTCTTACGCGAATGCTCATGGGATTTGACTTTGTTATCGAACGCAAGAAAGGGAAAGAAAGTATAGTGGATATGGCTGACGCGCTTTCCCTAAGGAATTCTGATGTTGACAGTAGTTTGAAGGCCTTTTCTTTATTAGTTCCAGGGTGGCTAGAAAGAATCCAGGAAGAACATTTGACTAGCCCCAAAATCCAAAATTTGGTTCGCGTAGTACAACATGGTGAAACTATTGGTTCCTGGAGTTTTCGAGATGGATTGTTGTATTTCAAAGGGAGAATTTATCTTGACGAGGAATCTCCCTCGTTGAAGGTGATCATTGAACAATTCCATGGGTGCAAGCATGAAGGTTTTCATAAGACACTTCATCGTATTCAGGCAAACTTTTATTTCAAGGGGTTGAGGAAAGAGGTTCAACGATTTATTCGTGAGTGTGATGTTTGTCAAAAACATATAGTCAAGAATCTTTCTCCAGCTGTTGTTCTTCAGCATCTTCCTATTCCTAATCGAATTTGGGAGGACATATCGATGTATTTCATTGATGAACTTCCAAGTTCGAAGGGAAAAACAACTATTCTGGTTGTTGTGGATTGCTTATCTAAGTATGCTCACTTTGTTGCTCTGTCACATCCTTGTTCTGCTGAAGATATTGCACAGGTTCTGTTTGATCAAATTTGTCGCCTACACGGGATGCCAAGGTCCATTGTATGTGACAGTGATCCAATCTTTGCAAATGCATTCCAGAATGAGCTTTTTCGTCTTAATGGAACTGAGTTTAACTTTAGTTCGAGATACCACACTCAAACTGATGGCCAAACTGAGGTGGTGAATAAAACATTAGAGATGTATTTAAGATACTTCTCTGGTTCTCATCCGAAAGGTTGGTCAAACTGGTTGTCTTGGGCAGAATTCTGCTATAATATGAGTCTTCATTTCACAACCAAAATGACTCCGTTTGAAGCTGTTTATGGAAAGAAACCACCTTTTTTAACTCCATACGTCTCAGGCACAGCGAAACTAGAGTCAGTGGAACAACTGTTGCTAGCTCGAGATCATGTTGTTAAGGATGCAAGGGAGAATATTGCAGCAGCACTGAATCGGATGAAGACTATTTATGATTCTAAGCATAGAGAAAGGGAATTTGTTACTGGTGATTTGGTATACCTCAAGTTACAAGCTTATTGCAAGACTTCAGTAGCTACGCGGAGCGTGTATAAACTCTCATCCAGGTACTATGGACCCTTCAGAGTTCTTGAAAAAATCGAGTCAGTGGCGTATAAGCTTGAACTACCAACTGAAAGCAAGATTCATCCAGTTTTTCTTGTCTCCGTTCTCCAAAAACACGTTGGTGATGACCTCATCGATGTTCAAGCTCGGGTTCCAGTTCAGATTGATGACTTCCTGGAAGTATAACCTTTCTCAGTTTTGTTAATTTTGAACAGTTCTATGTTTGTAGTTAAAGTTTGTTGCTTGTTCTTAGTGGAAAGATGCTTTGTTTTTGTGTAAAGAATGCTAGTATTTTGAGCTTTGGCTTTTTATTGAGGTTTATATAACTTTCATATTAACATTTCTATTTTTTGGTTTCCCGGGTGTTCGATATCTGTATTGGTGCATGACTAATTTAGATTTGCGTCACATAAGGCCCGTTAATGGTAAGCGCTTTCTATCAAAGATTTTTCCATATCTAAGGCCCGAAACTGAGACCTTTGATTTAGGGAGGAGCTGTCGTATTGACCACTCCAATTCACTTAGTTTGAATTCATGTGGATTCTTTTTTGTTTCATATGTTATCATAGGTCGAAGGAAGGGCATGCCGTCTCGAGTATTATTTCGTGTTGTTCTGTATATGAGCCTCTTCGAATTAGTCTTATTTGCTATTTGATTAAATGATCTTTATAAGACGTGATCAACAAAAAATACTTATTAAAGACATTTAGACCGTGTAGTAAATTTCAATAAGTATTAACTAGTAGTTTCAAGATATATAATTGCTACTCTACTTTGTTTTCTTAAAACTAAAAGGAGAACATGTTTTATTCTAATAATACATTCATTCATATGCATTAATGTTAGATGGACTTGTTTGGACCCCTAATCTAATTATATTTAGTCGAATTACAAATAAAATATTAATTAAACTAATAATCAATATAATTTATTTTTTTATCGTAACTTTTTTATAAATATTTTGAATTGCCTATTATTATTGACTTGTACGATCTTTCAATAGTTTCAAATACATTTAAAATAAAATAAAATAATGTTTTTCTATCTGAATTCACTTTTAAAATTATATTATTTGATTCACAACTCTTAAAGCCAAAGACGAAGCGAGGAAGGTAGCTACAGAGCAACAGATAAGGAACAGATTTAGACAACTTAATTGATCTATTGGACTCTAAATAAAGGGTACCGAAATTCAAACAATGTCACATTATCCGAGACAAATAGAGTGATATTTTTCTTATATGCAAATTGTGTACATAAGTATGTAATTTTAGTATTATATTTTATAATCCAAATTCTGAAATACCAACAATAGAAAATTATTTTGTTTAACTAATTCGATATATAAAAATTATACATACTTCTATTGAATTTATTTAAGTTTTATATAACAATTCTTTAATTAGAGAATGTAAATTTCTTTTATATAATACTATAACTATGTATTTAAATCATACTAATTTATTTCATCGAATTTTTTTTCGTAGACCCTAGCTGTTCCGGATTCATACGTTTACTATCCATAACTAGAGCTCCAATCTAAGACATCAATTCTTACCAAAACTGAAATTTTTAAAATTAAAATAGTGTCACGTAAATTGAACGGAGGGAGTAGTACAAAGGGGCTATTAGGTTTGACCTATTTGCATTTTATACATAAAAACCCAGCCCCCAAATCCTTAAACCCTTCTCGCCACTCTCCGTAAGGTTTTCTGCAGTAAACAAACCAGACGAAAAAAATGGAGATGGCTCAAGAATCATATGAATTGGATGTGGGTAATCTTATGGCTTCATACCCACATCACAGCTTTGCATCTACACCTTCTTCCAGGTTTGAGTTTCTTGAAAAGTACCCTTCTTTAACATGTACTGTTGTGTTGATTTCTGCTCAAAAAGGTGGAATCTTTAGTGTATTCTCTTCCTATTTTGGATGATTTTTTATCAGACTGTGTTGTTAATGTCTATTGGGGTAAAGGGGTAGCTTAAAACCGCAGGGAATTGTCAAAAAGATTGAAAAGTCTTATGGGAATTAGTGCAGATTTAGCTAAGAATATAATAGATTAAAGTGAAGTGTATGTGTTAAGTGATACCTAGCTGTGTTCTTGGAAATTACTGTGCTTGTTTTTTGCTAACTCGAAAAGATGGAACCTTGGAAGGATTTTAGAGTATTGTCTTCAACTATTTGGGTGATTTTTGCTCTAATTATGTTGTTGTTTTTGATTTATGAGGTAACAGAGTTATCTTGGGGTGAAGGGGTAGACCTGAAATTGTAGGAAATTGTCAAAAGAATAAAATATCCCTGGGCTGAGGATATGGTAGATGGAAGTAAAGTGTCTGTTTAAGTGATACCTAGCTAGTTGGATTGAACTGGTTAGCTACATTCTTGAAAAGTACCCTTCTTTAACATGTATTGTGTTGTCTATGATTTTTTTGTTACTGGAAAAAAGGTGGAAACTTGGGAAGTATTTGCAGTATTCTCTTCCGGTATTTGGACAACTTTTGCGTAAGTTCTGTTGCTATTTTTAGTTATGTTACTTGATTCAAGAAAAAGTTGTCTTTATAGTTTAACTCATGGGGATAGGGAACTAGCTCACAATTAACAATGTTAGCTCAATTTGATGTTTTGACTAAGTTACAATGATAAGAACACTCAACGGATTTCCTTTATTCAGCATATATTCTTGTTCTAAATATGTAGGGAGGCGTTGGTGAAGGAGTGTCTACAGGAGGGGACCAAGTTAGTGCAAGCTATTGCAGATGCTCTCTTCAACTTACCTTCAACAGAAAGCCCTGATGGTCCTCTAGTCCAGTTGCCTCAACCAACTACGAGATTGCCTAGAGAGAAGCCTGTAAGACCTCATTTCTATTTTTTGCGCAAGAATTGTGTGTTTTTCTTATCAATTCCAAGAGTAGTGGTAGAACATGTATTTGCAACAACAAACTCATTTTTCCTACATTCATGGTATTTGAAACAACTGATTTGTTTTCTATTGTGGCGCATTCCAAATTGGGTTCATGTTGTTGTTCTGAAAGAAAGAAAGTTACTTTAATCTTAACTTGATCAAATGAATTAAAGAAACTTCTCCATGGAAACAGATGAATAACTTACAATTGTTTTGCTCTTCTTCATTCTGTCTCATAGAGGGCGTACATATAATACATCGAAAGGATCAGATTTTCCAATGAGATCTTTGTTTGTTAACTCCTTTGCCTGAATAGGTTTTCTGTTTCTGATAAAGAATAGTAGAATCTCATTATATCTTTTGGGAATTTATGTGACTCTAGCTTCAAATGTGAATTGAATCTGATATGCAGCATAATCTATGATAATGCAATTTACTAATGTGAGCACAGGGGCAAAGTGCTTACGAAGATTTTTACCTTCATAATTTGAGAAGTTATGTGGTTGTGATTGAAATAGATGTGAGAAATTATGTGGCAAGAAATTAGTTTGCCGATTCTCCTGATGACTTAACTAGTTTATTTGTTTCTTCCTGAAGTTATAGTACTATGGTCGATGTAGTAACATTTATTATATTTTCTGATCCTAAGTTTGTTGATTTCATACTTTAAGGAATTTCTTTCACCGATCCTGTTATTGAAGTTTTGTTATATAGGATGCTTATGATGCCTCCCGCCCCCTATCTTCTAGATATGCATAGTGTAAAAGAGATCTTTACAGTGGCCTTGTCTGTTAAATCTGTCAGCTCCTTTTAGTGCTAATTATGATTTGATTGTTTCAGCTTCCAAGGCCTAAACCTCCAACAAAATGGGAAGTGTTTGCCAAGAAGAAAGGTACCATTAGTTTGTGGGTTTTAGAATAGATAATTCTTGATTCAAATGACCTTCATTGTGTTCTTAATTTTTGGAAAAATTGTCTTTCAGGTATACAAAAACGTAAGAAAGACAAGGTGGTGTTTGATGACCAAACTGGTTCATGGAAGCGCAGACATGGCTACGATCGTGTAAATGATGACAAAGATGTGCCAATCATTGATGCCAAGGCAACTGATGGTAAATAGAGAATTTTCATTCTCGATTTCTGCAATACTCAATTTTTCTTATATGTCTCAAGCTCTGAACTGAAAGGATTTTGAATGATAGGATTCAAAGGGTCATAAGATCCTAAAATAAATGTATGTCTTGAAGTCGAAGTTCAGTATTTTAGTTCTCAATGGATAGTGATTTTGATTATACTCTCTTATATCAATCAAGTCCTCATGATGATAACTATAGGAAAGCAACTTAACTTTGTCAATGAAGGGAAGAACATATCTGCATTAGCATTTTGTTATTGTTCTGAATGTCTTCTCCCTGTTTGTTTTTTCAGAGCCTGGCCAAGATCCTTTTGCTAAGAGACAAGAAGAAAAGAAGAAAAGAGTAGAAAAACAAGAGAAAAACCGATATAGTAACTTGAAGGAAGCAGCAAAAGCTGGTGCCTTGCCAAGGTCTTGTTCTTCTAAACTTCTCATGTTTTTCTGCCAAAACGTTTTTATTCTTTAATAATTCCTGCCATCTATGAGGGATTTATTAGTTTTTTTGCTCATGTATCAAATCCATTTTAAAAAAAATCCAGTTTAGACTAGCTGTTGAATTGGTTAGCAGATTTCATTCAGGAAAACCATCATGCCTTGTTTGTATCAGTTGCTAAATTCCGCTTGAAGTTCGCATCTACCTTTTTCTTATTCTGTTATGTCCGATGTCATTTGTCTTGATAAGCGCGGTGGTTAAAATTTTTACTCCCCCAAAGAGAGAACCTCCTTGTACTTATTCCAAGTGCTTACAAATCCTTAACATATTTGTCGTTTTGCTATTTGTTTAATGTTTTCTCAAATTATATTGGATGCAACAGTGACTAAGTTTATCATCACTCTAGAAGGAGAGGATTTTTCATGACTTATAAGTTATAAGTTACAGAGCTTTAAGCCTCTGCATGAAATTATTATCTCTTAAACAAGAATGCGTAGTCAATGGTGGAGAAAAACGTAGATCCTGTTGAAAGCTTCTTTAATTTACCCCAAAAGTATGTCTAGTCACCTAATCTTTTCCAATCGATTCCAGCAAATCTTAGTGTTTGTTTTGTGAGTTGATCCAAAGAGAATTCACAACATTAGTGAACGAATCAAAACAAGGCAAGTTTTTTTGTTTGTGAGTTCTCTTTGTGGCTGATTTGGCAATGCCCTCTTTCTGCTTCTTGCCCTCGACTTCTTAAAATTCCTCACTATGGTGTATTAGCATACATTAGTTGGCCATGTCAGTGAAAAACATGTGCCTCACACTCCATTTCTTGCTTTGCAGTCACATTCAGCTTGCTGCCACAGCACTGCCTATAACAGGATCACAAGCTGCATCAAGGAAAATTAGCAAGGATGAACTCGGAAATGTCGCTGGAATGGCAGCAAATGCAACAGCTAGTGGCGGAAAATTTGACAAGAAGTTGCCTGGTGAAAAGCCCCCAAAACATGACAAGAAGTATCGAAAGGTATGTACTACAAAAACTACATACATAACTTTGCTTAGTTCTGACCTGATTGTACATGTCTAAGTCCACTTCACTCCTATCTACAACCAGTTCCTACCAGTTGCAGAAGGATCAGGAATGGGATCCTTAGAGAGACAACAAACCGAAAAGGTCCTAAACAAATTCATGGCCAAGAACTCCCATGAGATACTCAATGTGCAAAAGGTATAACATATGCATATGTACACATCTCTTATCATTTCATCCTCCGAGATTTCTACGTGCTAATTAGTGCAAATTTTTCACCTTATACTGTAGGCTGTAAACATGTACAATGTGAAAAAAGATAAGAAAGGAAGAAGCCAAGGAGGGAAGTCATCGTCAACCGATAACAAATTGAAGGCAAGGAAGTCACCTTACAAGAAAACATCAACAAAAGGGCCTTCAAATAAAGGAAAATCTAAGTGAATTTCATATTCCAAATTGTAGTAGTATACATGGTAGTCAACCCCTCTTCATTTATGTTTTGTTTGTTTAATTTTGTGTTGCAATGGAACTGTGAAAGAGATTCTTGAAAAAGGAGACAAAATAGTATTTTTCATGTATGGAGTAAAGTAAAATACCCTTTAATTGATTTTGTCCCAGAAAGATTTAATGAAAGGATAACTAGCAAGGCTTTCATATAGTTTCTAAATTAAATCTTAGTTTGCTACACTGTGAACAGAAATTACTTACTCCTTAATATTATTAAATTATATCAAATCAAATAATGTCATATAAATTAAGACGGAAGAAGTATTTTCTTTTTTACCAAACATTATCTGATCCCACAGTGCTTAAAAAGACTGTCCTTACCCATTGTTTTGGGCTTTTGGCTTTCGGCTTTTGGAAGTGCTTTTTATCCTAGACTCCCTTAACCACTTGCACATACTGCACTCTCCAAAGTCCAAACTTTCACCTATTCGTGAATTTGATACGATGAAAGTCATTTATATTATGAGGATTTAAACTATTTAATTCTTTATGTTAATCACTATGTGCGTTTTCATTTATCTATTATATAGTTAGATTAATCACATAATATATGTCCAATCATTTAATTATACATATCAATATCAAGTAAAAAAGCATTTGAGCTTTTACTTTACGACTATTGAGGCAAATACATATAACTAAAGAAAATAACTTATTTTACGCGATTAATTTAACTACTTTACAGTAGAATGAGAACATATATGAAAAAATTCAAATTTTGAATCGTAAGTGTTTAGTTGGGAATACTTAGCTTTATTAAAAGTTTGAGCATTTAAATAAAATATTCTAACAAATTTAAGAATCGGTAACGTATTGAGCTTTTTTTAAAACCATAGATTCATGTACCGACAAATAAAAATCTAATGAACCGACCACAGCAAGAACTTAGATAATCTACAATTACACTAATTTATAATACTACCAAAACTTAAAATATAATAATATAAAGAACTTTATTCTAAAAGTCACAATATAATAATATAAAATAACTTTATTCTAAAAACATGTGACTTGGGACATTGGAAATTAGACAAAACCATCAAACATTTTTGTCCAAAATGCCTATAAATAAACATTCATTCTTACTTCACTCACAAAATCATCAATTTCTTGATTAATTAAGAAGCATTATTATTATTATTCGTATAATTTTTTTTATACAAAATTAAAATGGCCAAGAATGTGAGTTTGGCTTCAATGGATCAAAAACTAGCTATGGCTAAGCGTTGCTCTCATGGTACTTTCCCCTTTATTGCTTGTACCTCAACAAAAAAAAATTGATTTTTTTATTATTTGATGATTTATTTATTATTTTTTTAAAAAATGATTGTAAATGCAGAAGGAGTAGTTGCAGGAGCAAAAGCAGCAGTTGTTGCATCTGTTGCTACTGCCATTCCAACAGTAAGATTTACACTATATATACATTTTAAGTGTAGTAGGTAATCGAGCGTTGGTGTTTTTACTTTTAGTAGAAAATGGTACTTTAATATTGGTCGAGGATTAGGGTAGTAGATAGTCGAGTATTGTTCAATTTCTCTTGTTAGTATTATTGTTATTACTATTTTGTTATCTTATTTTTCAATTTTATTATTATATGTTTCTTTTATTTGGTTACCATGACATAGACTACTAGAAATAAAGATTTTTTCCACCGTGCATCATTGAATTTTTTGTGTTATAGAATATGATTATTTTTTAATTCTATTTCCGTTGAACTAGTTCACTAGGAAAATAGATTCTTGTTGAAATATTGAGAATAACAATTAAATTTTTTTTTCTCACTAATTCAACCAATATATCAATGGGAAAATAGTAATTTTTTTACTAGTGATATTATCTGTTGTTGCTACTGTTCCCTCTAATCTCCTTTATTTTAATATTACATTTTTACTACTATATTTCCTCTCAATTTTGTTTTTGGTATGCTTCAGTTGAGATAAAAATCTGTCTTTCGAAAACAGTTTCACAAGATAGAAAGAAGATTGCGTATGCACTAATACCCTCCCGAAACCCCATCAATATATTAGGATATATATGTTGTTATTGTGGTTGGAAAATGTTTACCAAACACTAGAAAATGAGTTATTATTTTGCGAATATTTTTCGTCGTACCGAACATATAATGTCTCAAATGTTTATGAAATATACAGTTTGCTATTGGGAAGATGTTACCATGGGCAAGAACCTATCTGAATCCAACTGCTAAAGCTCTTATTGTCTCAACAGCTGCTGGAATGGCATATTTTGTTGTAGCTGACAAAACTATTCTCAAAACAGCAAGGCAAAACTCCTTCAAACAGGCCTAATTAAGGCTCACAATTAAATTAATAAACTCTTTTAAGTATTTTAGAATATATCTAATATCAACATTACTGTAATTCCTATTTAAGTATTATCAGAGAGAATAGTGTACCAAATAATAAAAAAAAAGAAGGTAACTCTATCTATTTATTATTAACATTTATCATTTTTCACTTTAAAAACATTTTTTTTTTCAGATGGCCAAACACTCACTTGGAGAATGAAAATGAGAAAAATCAGATTCTTTACTCCACAATATGCATGATTCCTAACACTTTAATTTGTTTGGATGGTTGTTACGTATTGTTTCATAATTGTATCAACTATTGTGTTGTATTGTATCATACTGTATTGTCTTAGTGAATACAATATTTGAATATAGATTGTATCGTTCTTTGTTGTTACATAATATCACACATACATAATTTGATGATAAACCTGCAAGAAAATTAGGGTATGAGGTGGAGCTACTGTGAAAAAGTAGGGTAAAGGATAAAATAGAATTATATTAAATAATAAGTAAAGACAATGAGAAGAACATATTAAGATAACGACGCGATCACACAAATTCGATTGTTGCACAAAATGAGTCGTTTGGTTATTACCTAATGATAGATTTAAACAATAAAATCTAAGTAACAATTAAAACATTGTATTTAAACTAATAATATGATACAACAGGTAACAACCATCCAAACAAAGTGTAAAGATGCAAACTACAATCCTTTTATCCCATTGTCACGTGGCTTCTCGCTTAATCTGAATCTCAAGCAAATCTATTGTTAGACTATCTGCTTCTTGGGCCTCTTTGTGATTTAGCCTCAGGCCCAACAACTTGGCCAGCCTCTGTCCAAATCACTGTCTGAACTATCCTTGTTCATAACCAGAAGTATAAAGTATAGAAACCCCAACAATTTGAGTGATAATTACAGCTATTTCAAAACTTTTCCAAATTATAATAATCCCAAATATTTTAGAACTCGCGGATACATTGGTCCTTCGCTCGATACATAATAAATGATACATAACTATAAACCAGATTCACACTAATTTAGGTTTGAAATAATCAGGGTTATGTATCAATAATAACATTTGTATCAGATACCTTGTACACAAACAAAGTTGCAATGTATATGATAGAGGTGAGAGATGTATCGGGATGCTAAGAGAGAGAAAGAAAAAGATGGTTTTCGTAATTTAGAGATATGTTATGTTAAGTCGTGTAATTATGTAGTTTTCCCTAATCAAATAAATTGAATAAGAGATCTGAACTACGTAAATTAAATGAGTTATATTGTGTAAGGGGACCTTTTATTAAATTAAATGGGTTGAATATATTGTATTAGGGGACCTTTTTATTAAATTAAATTGGTTGAATAATATACCGGTGGACCATACAAGCTCCGTTAGTTATAGATAATTATTAATTTTAGTTTTTATAATATATGCTTAATACATTTAATTTTTAATTAATTAAAATGTATGCTTATAGTCCCATTATGTAGGAAATATATTTTATTTAGAATTGTGTATATTAACTAACCTTAAATATGAAGTAATAGTACCAGCTTAATATTAAAAAAAAATGGTAACTTTAACAAATAATCATTCTAAAATATGTGATTATTCATAAGTAAAAGGATCAAACATGTATTTTTGAAGCAATTATAGGCTAAAAGTGCTTAATCAGACACCATAAAAATTAAAATTAGAACTGACGGTCCAAAAGCTTTTACTTGTTGGCACGACAAGTAGCTAAAGTCGCAATTAGGAATGGACTAATGGCTAAACAAAATAAAGTTTAAATGTGATGTTTATGACGGAGGGCGGGTCACGAAGAAAACTGACAAATTTTTAGGTTGACAAACTTCTAATTAAAAAGCGGTACAATGAATTCCTCATCGAATAAAGAGAGAAATTGAAGAGTTGTATAAAACATAACACAAATTTAATGAATTCCTCATCGAATAGAGAGAGAAATTATGAGCTTTATGAAACATAACATAAGTTCACACCGTACACGTACTTTTAAACTTAATAATAATTGGCCCTATTGGACAAATCGATGAGCCTTGTTGGACCAAAACAAGCAATATGTGTCATGGACTTGGGTTGTCAGAATTTGACGCTCCTTCGGAGCATAAATATTATTTCCTCTATTTTTATGTTATTAGTAAAATTAATTTAACTTATTTACGTTAGTTGTATTATAGTTTTCAATTATTCATATGAGGTGTTTACATCAAACCCTACTAACTTATCACAGTTTAATGATAATTAAGGTGATAATATATATTAATTAATTATGATTTAATAATAACCATATTAATAAAAATATGTGTCATATATTTATTAAATTGCTATAATCATCCGATGCAACACGTCAAGAATACAAAAGATGAGAATTTCAAAATGATTCGATTTAAAATTAGTAAAAAAAAAAAGGTTAATCGAACTACTAATTAAAGCATTTTCATCGATTTTCTTAAAATAAATTTATTAACAAATATCTTTTTAGTATTTTCACTTTTAGCGCACATATCAAGATTTTAGAAAAATATGTTATCCCCTTTTATTCATTACTTATCTTTTATATTATTTTTTCAGACTTAAAACTAAATTTTAATTAACATGAATATTATGATAAAATTTCATATAAATCATTATTTTTCAAGGATATATATAATATAATCTAGACAAATAAAAATAATTAAAAGAGTAGTGTGTAGTAAAAGTTGACTTGGCATATTTTTTAAGGAGCAATAAATAAAATGATAATTTCTTAAAATGTAATAAATTTAA